CTGCTGCTGCTGCTACTACAACCACCACCACCAGCACCACTATCACTACTGGACCACTACAGCGACTACTGCTGCTACTGCTGCTGCTACTGCAGCTGCTACTATGACTACGCCGACGACTGATGCTACTACTGCTACTACTACTGCCACTACGACTACTACTGCTTCTACTTCTACTTCTACTTCTACAGAAACAACAACTACTACTAACACTGCCACCACTACTAGCACTGATACTCCCGCAACTATTCCTACCTGCTCCTGCTCCTCCTACTACTACTACTACTACTACCACCACTACCACTACCACTACTACTACTACTACTACTACTACTACTACTAGGTTTTCGTTCCTGCCGCTCCGAGCGGCTTGTCGTCTGTGACATGGAGGCCATGACAGCGGACCAGACGTCCAGAAGCTATTTCGGCATGCATGGTGAATGGTAGCCTGCTGTGGACTGGTCTGCGTCTCACGGGCGGCATAGTTGCGCAATGCCTCCACATGGGCGTGTTGATGCAACCGGCACCCGGGCCCCAAGGCATTCAACCCGAAGCCTCCACCTGCCTGAGCATCCACCACAAACCCAATGAAGGGACCGTTACTGCGTCGAGGCCCGGTGGCAGGACCGTGGGCACGACCTGAGGACGTCCCACAAGATGCAGTATTTAGTGCGCAGGGGCACTAACGAAGACGAGCGCCATGGACCGAGTCTGCTTCAGGACTCATGTTTAGTCACTCACCAATCCACCCCCCCACCAACCTTCTGGTCACGGGTTTTAGCCTGAGGTACATGCCTATGTCTATGTCACACAATTTATATGTTTGAAATTATTAAATTATAAAATTATGATTCATTAAATTCTTATATTAATATTAAATTATATTTATATTAAATGATATTAAATAAATTGTTTATGTTACTATGTTACATTTATGTTTATGTATTATATAATTATATAATATATAATAATATAATCAATAGTCAGTCAAATAGTAATATTAGTTAGTGCAATTTAATATAAATTGTAGACAATTAACTTATATGATTATATATGATATATGTTATTATTAAAGCATGTTGCATATGTTAAGCGATGTCATATTATGTTGCATTGTACAGAATGTTCATGTACAGATACCGAGAGGTGGAATTGTATAATTGCATAACTTAAACTATATAAATCATTAATAATAACCAACAAGTTATTATATTTAATATAGACGACTAGTTTTCTTCAACAGAATATGCGGCAGCTTTTTTTTCGGGAATATGATTTAATATACCAACGTAGTAATACGACTTATACGACACTACAACTAATATAGGCAGAGGACTCGAGATCATGGCCCACAACACGTGACTTGGGTTACAAGACATGAGTTGTCTGGTGACCCATGATGCTTGACTACGAGCCATGAACATGCATGGCGAGCCATGCATCCATCTATTTGGATACTGCATGGTGACACACTTGGGCCCGTTCTCCGTCGCCGGCCACCGGGCATGCCATCACTTCCAGGGGTGTTGACTCCAGGCTCTAGTGTGCTGCAACACAAAGGACATGCAACTAAGACTACTGTCATTGTCGGATCATTACCATGTCATCTCATATCATATCATTAGGTGTTGGCAGCATTTACTAAGACTAGATCAGACTAAGAGCGCCTAGGGGCTTCTGGGTCCATGTCTACGTGCCTACCTGCCTATGTGAGCCAGTGTGCGAGTCATGTGAGATCATACGGAATCATACGGCAGGCGGCATGCGGCATACTGTACACCGTATCATAGTTTGAGTCGTAGCATCGTAGCCAAAGTGAGTCGCCAAGTTTCATAGTCTCATAGCCCGGAGTCGTGAGCAGACTCATATGAGTCATTGAGTGGGACACATGACATATGAATGTCTGAATGACTATGCTAATATGATTCACATATTCATATGAGTCATATGAATCGTATGAGTCTCACATACCTCACACATAACTTATAACTACATGAGGGCGTTTGAACGCATGTAGGCTTGTTCAGCATGTTGTTTTGTGGACTTGCAGGCCCGGCTTGGCATTCTTTTACAGAGCGGCCCCGGTGCTGTCTAGTTGGGGTGACCCCTCGGGTCCTGATGTCTAATGTTTAGGGTCCACAACCCTCCCCCCCCCCCCCCCCCAATTCTGAAGCACCTCACCTAGCTCGGCATCAGGACCATTGTGCGTGTACAGTGTACAGATCCGACCCTGGTCCGGACATGCGCCAGCTACAAAAACAGTGACAGCTATCATTGGGTGCGTGCAACTAGATCCTTAGATCATACTTCAGGATGCATGACTCATGACTTATAAAACTTATAAGTTATAAGTATAACTTATAACG